TTTCAAGGGAAGTTTTCAAAGTCGACTTGATTGTAAATCTTAAAACAAAAAATAGCTACAATCCGATGAGTTTATATATATTATAACATTTTTACTACTTGCTCTTCTTTGCCCATCTTATGTCAGATCAACTATTTTATAGCATGGATACTGGTTGGGTACATTGTTAAATATCTTACAATTCGGATGTATTGTGCTGTGTGTATGTGTGTGTGTGTGTGTGTATGTGTTTGTGTATGTGTTTGTGTGTCTAAAAGTTCTGTTTGCAATGTTTGCCAACTGCTGTGCAATCGCAATAGCTTATATATATTGCACTGTATTGGGAAATGTGCAGCAACATGTTACAGTCACAGAATAGCTTGTCATGTTTGCACCACATTGTCTCTTTCTATGGACAATTAGTTGGCATAAGAAGGTTCATATCAAAGTGAGTCTAATTTTGTCATATTCTATTTTTTATAAATATTTCCATTGAATTTTTACACAAATGACAAATGGCTTACCCAACTAACTTTTCGTATAAAATATTGAAAAAAAAAAAAAAAAACAAAAAAAAAAAAAAAAAAGCTGGTTTTCAAAAGTTCACTAAAAACGAAATTTCTAAATTCAATCATTTATGTCATTTTTATTAATTTTCCCTGTTTGTTGTAAAACTTTCAAGGACGAAAGCTGCATTTGGGAAAAAAAAAATGCAGTTAGTAAGCAAAGCACTCATCCAATTGACTTTAATGACTTGGTTACGATATCAAAATTTCTACTAAACTGTACATATGTCCTTGTGTCGTTAAACTTGTGATAGATGAATGTAGAATACGAGTGCAAAGCTTTACATATTGTTTTTATACAAATTTGAAAATTTGTTTATTTACTCATGTGAAAACCAACCGTAACTTTTAGCAATTTTTACAATCAATTTTCAACTCAATAAGTATGAAATTGAACAGAATTGATATACACGTCTACGGCGACTTCATGATTACATGAATTTTTTTTAATTTGATCATAAGTTAAACGTCACCGCGTCAATTACTTGCAATGACTGCACCTAATAACTGTTCGTGTATATGCAAGCGTTATTCGTGAACATCAATAATATTAGTTCGATTAACCGGAAATAGTTTCTTCCGTTTCATCTTTTGAGGTATTCAGGTCGAGTCATCAAATCACTAGCAGAACTCATCGCATACTAAAAGTACATCGTCCGAAACATGTCCTATTCGGGTTAATATTCAAAAGCTTGTCTAAATTGTTTGAGCAAAAGTGATTATAACCTCACAGCAATTGTAACGACGACAAGCGCACAAAGGCTTAAGTTGGGTGAGGCGTGTTTTTGCGTAAAGGGAAAGTTTCTTATATTTTAAGTTAACTAAATGCATATCATTATAATAGATAACCCTATTGATATTTTCCTGGTAAAGCCATTATTCCATTTTTGTAAAATTTTTGGTATTTCTTAGCGACGAACTGATTGCCCTTTGAAGTCAACTTTACTCTGGGCAAGGTGCGGACTGTGCGATAATCGCACCATAGGAATATGAAACCTCGTTTTTTTCCTTTGCCTATTATACTATCCGGCACAGTTTATCTGTCGTCTTTGTGCATTCATGACGATTAAACTTACATGTTGACTTACATATTGACACTGACGCTTCAGAAAAATATTTAAATTTTTCAACAATCAAAATGAAGAAGATAGAAATATTCGTCTTATACAAATTGAAAATAATAACTAACGCGACGACTAGGTTTCGAGAACCCGCGCGCCAAATTATGTTTAAATTCTGTTACATCTTTCAGATCAACCTTAGTCTTAACTTTGATGTAATGATTACTTGATTTGTAAACTTCTGGCTGCTTGCCAGATTCTCATGTCCCCTACTTGGAATTCTAGACATTAGAATACCCGACGTTTCATATAACTACTGAGGGATAGATATATAGCTATTTTATCCTTAACGAATACGTGGTAAGAATTCTGAGCTATTAACGTGTACTGTGTCAGTTGGTGGTCTCGCTTGAAATAATTCAAGTAAAAGAAAAGTAATGGAGAACCGAGCGTGCAAATGCGCTCCTTTCGTTGAATTGTTTTTTTTTTTTTTTCTTGGAAAATCTCACACGGTTTCGAAATGTTTAAAGATCAAGCAAATAATTCAACGATCGGAAAAAGCAAAGTTTAGAGTACGCATTCTATTGAAAAACATTTTACTGAATTGCAGTTTGATTGATTGAATGATTAGGAGGTATATTCTGGCGTTGCAATCGGTCACACGCCACAATAGCTATTGCTAGTTGTTTGAATTTACAATCATATAAAGCATCCCCGTCAGCCTTACTATGAAAGAGCGATGGTAAATTTCCACATATCCACACAAAAAAAACATGTCTTTAGACTTCTAATGTCCCTGTGATGTTGCCCACAATGCGACTATAGGTATAACAATATTTGAACAAAAGCGAAATGATCCATTAAAGAGCTAGATGGACGTTGTTACGTCAAAACAGTCGTCAAACTGCAATCGATATAAAATCGAAGTTCTTTCAAATGAACTTAGGTAAGGAGGGCTTTCTTATCGGAAAATCCTATATATATATATATATGCCACATAAGATAGGTGAAGCATATAACATAGTTTATGTTGTAGCATGATTTATGCTAGTGTTTTACATACTCAAGCTGTAATTTAATGTTTAATAAGCTTACAATTTGTAAGCGAGCATATTACACAAATGCGAGTGAATGCAACCATATATTTACTTGTAAATAAATTTAAATGTATATGTAAGCATAACCACGAGTGGACCGTTAATGTTTTGGCGTTACAATACCGATTAAGGAATGAGTTATGGTTCGCTTACAATATTATTACAAATTTGAATATTTGCAGATAACTGTACACGTTTCAATATTAATAAACATTGCGGTAATTGCCGTTAAAGTGTTAATACACCGCTGATGGCACATTATTATTAATATTATTGCTACTCTCGTTATCATTATTATTATTATTATCATTATGCCCATTACCGATGGACGAGTTGTATATTCTTTTTCTCAAAACATTTGCAACACCCGCAAGGAAGCTTCAAATACACTCTACAAACTATATAAACATATTTAACCATCCGTCCGTCTGTCGGTCTATATAATGTCTGATGTAAGCAATCTCGACTTCAAGTTTGCCAGAAATATTGTAAGCTTGTTATTTAAAATTTACCAAATTGATCGAAGGATACGCCTGCACTACCACATAAGCTGCGATCAGTTCTCTTTTTTAAGAGGATTAAAAAAATTAATTTTTTGTTTATTACTCATAAACTAAATATAGATAAATATACAAATTGTGAACATGTATTCTATGGGCAATGATTTAGTAAGTGTACAAAAATGCAAAAAATTAGCCACGACTACTCAATTTTATAGTGTATCAAAATTTAATTTTTTTTCACCGAGCGGAAGCAAGTTTCAAAAACCCATAGACGAAGCGCACCTAAGCAAGTCCGCTTGTTCGTCTCTCCACTTGTTTGTTTACGATGTGAAGATATCGCCCAAAAATGTGCTAAAGAGTTTGAAAATCACCTAAATTGCGTCGACGCGTTTATTGAACAAATACTGTAAACACTTTTGCTTTCCATGTTTTTGCTTGTTACTCATAAAGTCCAGCATATACGCCATATAAATATGCGGTTTTATTGTGAAAATAGAAAAAATCAATCGCGCCTACCCATTATTAAAGAGTATGAAAATTGAGTTCTTTTTCTTTCCGTTTAGTCTTCGTTAGGGCAACAGTAATGGGTAAAAAAGATTCGGTCACGACCTTTAATAATTTTCTTACTTATTATTATTAATAAGTTTAGGTGTTCATGGTAATACTAGCAAACACAAGCGTAACCAAGCTTAATTTATAAATTTGCAAACTTTTTTTTTAAATTTAAAACAAGTAAGAAGTAGAAGAGGGATGCAGAAGGATAATCTAAATTGTCGACTGAGCAAAAAAAATGTGTTAAAAAAAACAAAATTGGTTATAGAGTGACAGCGGGGATCAGCGAAGTGATGCTGCGACGATCCAACTGAGAGAAGTAGCAAGCAAGCGAACCTTCATATTAACGCGAAGAAATCCGAATTTTTTTATTTGTGGACATATTAGTAAACAGATCGGAACATGCGAATCCGATCGTTCTGCCGAATATTTGTATAATTGTTCTTCAGAAATATATTCACGCGATCGATAGTTACAGACGGAAATTTGAAAAAATTGTCAATGTGTTTTCGAAGCTATGTGGGCGCGTTTGTGGACAGATTGCAACCATTTTTTAGCTATGGGTAGTTAATCAATCAGGGAACGTTTGATCTTTCATAAGATTTACCCGTTAAATTGAGGGCTCTCGTAAAAGTAGTTATAAGCGAACAGCCAAACATGCGTAAATCGATTGGGGTTTGGATGCTGAGCAAGCACTTTGATCATAAACCTAATGGGGTTTCTGAAAATTCTTTCGGGACGTTGCAAACGTTTTTGACAAATTTTGGCGAGGCCTACAAAGAGGATAAACATGAGGCACTCGACAGCTGTAGTCAGTCTTAAGTTAGAAATCATCTCGCAATCGCAGCCCATACATATCATAATATAAATTTTTACTTGGAACGAAACACTTTGCTTTGCTCATTGACAAAAAAAAAAAAAAAAAAAAAAAAATCTGTTTAGATCTGTTTCATATGTTAACTTAGCATTTTCTAATCAGAAGTTTTTCATTCACAATTCATATAGTTAGAGGCGGTGATAGCGTTTGTTTGTATTTTTTGCCTTATTTTTTTTTTACTTTTTTATTACAGCCTTTTTGGGTTTTTTTTTAATTTTATAATTTTGTAATACGTCTGCAATCAGTTTTTTTAATAAAACGTTTCGGTGTATTTCGCGGCAAAGAAAAATATATATCGCAAATAAATAAAAACATAAACAACAAAAGGCAAAGACAGCGTGTTGTGCAAGGAACTAAAAGTACGAATGGGTCCCGAAAAGGGAAAATCCCTCGCACCTATAGTGTCAGTACCGATATACAAAACTATTTCGCTAAAGGAAATAAAATCGCGTGAACAAAAGTATGCTCAACGTATAGTAGATACGAAATTCTTATATCATTTCATTAAAGGTACTTCACTTAAATAAATTTTGATTTGAAAGTGTGCATAAAAAAAATAAACATATTTTGCATTTTAAAAATAAACAGAGGCTACACAGGAGTTCGAGAGACAGAATGATAAGCAATCGTCCTTAGATAAGTGGAACGAGTACGTGACATGTTCCCGATTCCCGTGCCCGAATAAAGCGAGCGATTTGCGCAATTTGCAATACGAGATGAAATTCAAAGAAAATCTAAGTGTGGAACACGCAATCGATTGGCCGCTGGCATATGATCCACGTAGCGTATTAACGCAAAATGCATTCAAACGTGAGCAAGCGCAACTTCCGATATTGCAAGCAATGCAACCGTGTATAAGTTTAGATTATGAAAAAATAATCGGCTCGTATTTAAGAACTTTGCAAAAAATCGATGAGTTTCTTTCGAATAAAAGCGCAACAGCTAACGTTAATATAGAAACTTTAAATGATATCAAAGCGGTGGAGAGATCCATACAAAAGGAAATTTGCGATGCAATGGACCGTTTCACTTACAGAATACTATGCGCCGAAGAACTATTAATGAAGTGAGTTATATAATTAATTCAATTCATAATTATTTAATTAATACTTACATAAATAGAGATTAATGTATTTTATACATATATATATATATATTATATCTCCGATATATTATTTCTTCCGAAGGTCTCCCTTTTTTCCAATTATTTTATATAAAATCTGTAGGATCTCGCGAAGCGCGTGCAAAACAAATTTTCTGTCCACGAAAACAGAACCGACAAAGTTCGGAATAGGAGGGAACGTCCACCTGCCTCTCTCCGTTCTTTCCCAACTCGATTGCCCTTTCATAATCGAGATGAGCCGTTCTGTCGTTCTTATTGCTTCTAAGCATCAACTAAGCTCGCCCAGTAGCGCTCGTAGGTGCGCTTCTCCCACCTCCACACTGGGCTTGCATACATAATGACTGAATTCACCACCGTGGCTGTTATCTTTCTTGTGGTAGCCTTCGGCCCTCCTAAGTCTGCTGCAATTCTCACTAGTGCCGCCTGGATGCTTGCAGTGTTCCGTCCCATATGGTCTGTGTAATATATAAAGTTGCGTCGATTATCTATCATGATCCCTAGATATTTGAGCGCTTGGAATGAATGTATGACATGCTCCTCGACTCGTATTTTATACTTTTCCGCTACTTTTCGACTGCTTATTAGCACTGTTCGTGTTGCTGCTGCTCCTCCAGTTGTGTGCCCGTATATGTGCGTATGCTTGTACACAAAAGCTTTGCAGTAAAAATTCTTTTTCTCACAAGTTAAATAAATTCTGAAGTGTGTCGACGAGTCTGTCCAACTACAATGCTTTTGAAATCGTAATCAAAATCAAAAATGCATTATTCGTTACGATAACTTTATTATTATCTAATTTACATTATTTTCATCGCAGATCTATCGATAGCGTTACGGCAGAGTACGGGTTTTCTTGTAATCAATTCCAAATGCATATATGGAGTTTGAAGAATGTTCCCATACGTTTTTCACACATGGGGTAAGTTGTCAGTCAATTACTTTCTCTACCTTATGCGAATGTTTGTTGAAAAGCAAAGTTTTCCTGTCTGTCTTTCCCCTTTTCCCGCCATAGTGAACAATGTATGGTGGCTGCTTTGCATAACATAAACGTATACTTACACATACCGTACTCGATGTTGCGGCCGCAATTATGTATACAAGCAATACACATGAATTTCGATCACGTCAGTGAGAATGCGAAGAGTAATAAGCCTAATAAGCTTAAAGTACCATTAAAAAATTGGACTAATCGTATAGAAGGTTATATAATAAAATAATATTAGATAATAATATCTTGTTGTTGTTGTTTTTCATTACTTTTCCCTTTTTTTATTTGCGGAAAAAACAATCATTCATTCGTTTGCACGTTTCGTTATTCATGCCCACAAAAAAAGAACCCCTTCATCAATGCTTGACACGCGAATATACGATGCAAATAGACATTCTAGAAAAAGTTTATAAAGAAATTGAAGAGAGGCCGGAAATATTTGAGAAAAAAATTTCTGAAATCGACGAAAGGCTAAGGTGGTACTCAAATAAATTACCACGAACAAGTCTAGACGCCCTTAAAAGAAATAAGGTGAACTTGTTGCAAGCCGTTCCAAAGTTACAACGTCTCTATCATGATCAATACCCAGATATTGAGAACGAGTTCGTTGCAGAGGAAAGCAAAGAATACGAACACTTTTTAAATATTGGTTACAATCCGGAGAACTTCAACCTAGAATATGATGAGGTATATTTTGTCGCTTTTTTCTTTTCGCTTTTTTTTTTACACATATTTGTCTAATGACGAGTTCAGATTAATCTGAGACGCTTTGCTATACTGGGCGGTGTTTATCAAGTATATTGCATAAGAAAACCTGTATATCGCAAGATCGGCAGCTGGAGTTTTACTTTGCATTCTGATGAGCGAAAGCTTGATGTCGAAAAAGATTTGCAGATTAATAGAACGTACTCTACATATCCTACTCACTCTAAATTCAGAATGTCACTCGTTAATCTGAAAGACTTAAATCGATCGAAAAGCTTTATGACACCAATTGATCGCGCGAAAGATGAAATAGATGAGACCAATCCCATGTTTGTTCTGACTTTTCATCTACCCGACTATCTTTGTTACTGGGGTGATCCAATTGCATGTCATTACGAAGAGTTCGAAGAAACCGTTTGCATCGGTGACACTGCGAATGACGAACAGCAAGTAAAGCCATTTAAAACTAAAGCCCAGAATTCGATTTTTCACTCCGAACTAGATATGGGCGTCATAAGCAAGTTGAAAGAAAATCGCGAAAAAGCTAAACGCATATCACCTACCGGAAACATTCTTGGCGGTGAGCTCACAAAATCGGTGATACAAACTTCCAATGCGAATGAAATTGATCTAAATGTGAAAGATTTTCCGCTAGATAATCCTTTCACAAGCGACCAAGCTCGTAAAGTAGTACGATACTGTTCGCCTCAAATATTATCCTCGTGTAAATTCCCAGTAGAGATTAAAGAACATAAATCGAGGCACGAAATAGAGAAATTGAAAATAAGACAAGATCTTATGGGACGACTCGGAGCAGACCATACCGACAAATCGTACTGTGCGTTTGGCCAAAATAATCCGGAACGTATATTTGTCGTCTACGATAGAACGGCTCCTTTACAGATCCCGGAGCATTTAGAAAAGTTCAGGGGTATTTTACCTCATGAGCCGAAAGCATTTTATCAATTAATTAAAGCTTTGATCTTAATTAAGAGACTCTTTCAATATAAACTTTATCAGATATTCCGTTTGGAATCGCCCGAACCAGAAATCGATTTAGAAGTTCGGAGGATAAGGGTCAGAGAGCGGATGATGCAAGAAACGAAGAGTAGACTTAAGCAACTTACGGTTAAGTTAAATTGTCATATATCGCAGTTTAAAGCAGAAAAACGGGGAAGACGTTCAACAAGACTAAGCAAACGGCAATCGCCTTGCACAGAAACATCTATCAAAACTCTTGAAAGGAATTCGGAAAGGAAAACTGGACTCGATTCCCCTATTTCAAGTTCAAGTGTTAGCCAAAAAGAAAGAGCAACCAAAACAGTAATGAGTTCCCATTGGACGACCCGGCATATAAGAAGTTCTCGTTTCATTAGAGAAGAAAGAAAGTTTGTGATCGAAACCGATCGATTGGGTAAACAAAAGATATCGGGATAGAAAACAAAAACAATATTCAACTCTTCTCTTTTAATCTATCTATCCCTTGCAGGTGTTTTTGGTTTTGCATGTAGACGTTACCAACATTTTCCCTTTAAATATTGGTCTTTAGAACCAAATACAACTGGGTAAGCTCTCGACCCTAGGTCAACTAAAGTGAGCTAACGTATATATCTCCAGTATTCTCACCTTTGTTTGAATAGTCGAGAAAACGAAGTGATTTTTACACTTGACAATGAATACATGAGATGTGTTTTTTATGTAAACGAAGAGGGTATACGCGGGCACGTTTGTGAACCTTTCAAAAGATTCGTACAAAATCCGGAAATATATATGACTATTGAAGAACCAATAAAGGATTTCAATCAATTTAAAAAAATGCTAAGAGACAATAATCTTAATATATTCGCCGAGCCTGACGCTAGCTTCTACATCGAGAATAGTTATTACTCCGTAAAGCATTTACCAACAGAAATCCATACATATTACTGTATGGCGTTACATTGTACTACATTTAAATTCGATCGTTGTCAATGGAATCATTTGGCTCCGCGACGCAATATCGTTTTGCAATTTAATCACAATAAGGATTTTTCCACGAATAATTTTCGCGTTCTTATCAAACCAGAAGGAGCAACATTCGTTGAAATCTTTGAACAATCTTCCAATGCCTTATATAAAATAAAACTGAATTATAAACCCACTTGGCGCAATATAAGAGTAAATATATATATCCTACATATTTGCATTTACTTGAGATTCGCTTCAAATTTCAAAATTTTAGTTGTATTCCGATTTGCATCAAGCCGTATGCTCAGTTCATTCGTCGGCGTTCGGTTTACGTTGCAAAAGCACTAAGCTCATTTGCAATTTGAAAACCCTTCTCAGTGAAGTGCGACCTTTGAGTTTTTCATGATCTCTTCTGCGATTGCGGTCATTTATCTGTTAAGTCATACGTAAACAATGTATTTAGGAATAATTCAATTATTTAACTAAATAAATCAAATGTATATAAAATACTAGACATGCTCTTTCAATATATCCTTTCATCTTTTCTTCGTGAAGGAGAGATGGCCCTTCGAAGAAAGAGAGTTGATTTGCAAAGTCTCGATATCGCCCATAATCGGGATTGATCTTTCGTTTCTTTTCGTGCAAGTAGAAATGAGCGAATCATGAAAAAATGTTAGTTTTATGGAATCATCCATTTTGCCTTTTATATCCTGAACTACTTATGGTAGGGACCATATTAAGTTTGTGCGGTAAAACTCGAAAGGACTTAATATAAACCCAGCTTTTATTATACCTATCGATTCAGGATCATTTTCCAAATCGATCCAAGCCTGTCTGTCCGTCTGTCCATCCGATGTCTGCCCATGTAAATTTGGGTCACAATTTTCTAGATATTTGGTACACTGATGTCGTGATTGGTATGAAATATTTGATTCGCCTGTCATCTTCTGAACTCTCTCTCTCTCTTATAACGTTCCTACGAAATGTGAGCGTTTGTATAGTAAGAAGTTATAACTATCGATATTTCGTGGTGAAAATTGAAGCATAATAGTAAATTGAGAGAGACATCTATCTTACCGAACTTGAATCAAGTAGCGATCTATTTTTCAGATTATCCCTTACATAAGGATTCTCAGGAAATGGAAGCCCTTATATAGGCCAAAAGGGCCCAAATGTTAATGTTTTACGATGAAAACTTATTCATGGTAGTAACTTAACGTAAAAATTAAGAAGATCAAATTTGAATTACATGCGTGGTTCTATTCTTTGAACCCCATTCGTGATCAGTAAGCTCTTGAAAAACAGATAGCAACTTTGCAAAAAAATTAGCGATAGCTAGAATTGGATTGAATTGGATCTGCTTTTAAGACCCTAACGTGATTATTATGAAGAGAAAACCCCTATATATGGAGACAAGATAGAATTTCCACTTTTCTGTGACGGAAAGTGAAAAATAATCAAATTTTTGGAAAGTAAATGAAGTTTGCTAAATTTGAATCACGTCATATAATTTTGGACATCCTCTAATGCATTGAATTTTTGATGCATTTTTATTCAAACTGTACTAGGCTAAGTGGTATAGGGCATCTAATGTCGGCTTACCCGACTATAATGTTCTTACTTGTTTATTATTATTATTATTATTATTATTATTATTATTGAGAGTCTCGGATAAGTGGTGACCGAGTGCAAACAAAAAAAATCCCGCTTCTTAATAATGAGCACACGCATAAATAATTTATGGATTTTTTAATAGTGGTCGTTATAAAAATATCAAACATTTTAATTCCACACGAACGCTGTCAACCCGCAAGGCAGAACTGCAATTAAGCAAACTATATACATATATCAACGAAATGTATCAACAGCTAAAAAAAAAAAAAAAAAAAATGAAAGAGATTTTCTCCTTTTTTAAATAAAAATGTTTGAAATAATGTCAAAACTTTTAAGTACATTTTGCGTAAAGTGATTAATGGGAGACCATGAAATTGCATTAAAGACACAGTGACAAAAAAAAGCAAAAGAAAAAAACATTTCAAACTTTTTATTTAACTTCACATGCGCACACACACACACATAATTTATATTTTCATAACATGACCCACAAGCGTATTACGCAATTCGCAAGATTTTCGGTCGTGAATTTGTTATTCACATTAAAAACAGCTTGTATGGAAAATGTTCTTAAAAGATTAAAGCTTCGCACCATAGCGAACTTGGTTGGATGTGCCCTCGTTGCAATGGAAACAATAAACGCCTGAAGATCCCAACCTCATCCCGACCTAAGTATTACATATCAATGCCATTAACTAGGTTGCAATCTAAGTATTGATGCAAAAATGAAACGGCACATGGTTTGATGTCCAGCATACTGTTGTATTTCGGCGAATTATTTTCAGTTATAAAAAGTAAACCTAACTATCGAGTCCATTACTAACATTAGTGATGCTTTTGCGTGATGACTTCAACGAGAAGGTGACTAGCTTGGCTTCACTTCCACAAAGCATATAATTTGTTTAATTTAAAAAAAAAAAAACAACAAATTTGAAAAATCTGATTTTTTTCATAATATAAACATTTTTCTGTTTTTCCTTTTTTTAAATATCGTTTAGTAGAAAAGAGTTTTTTTATAAGGCGACCACATCAATGTGTTTAGAGAAAAAATTGGGGGAGGGGGGAGGGGAATTACTTTTTTTGCTTTATTAAAAAAGCAAAGAAAACAAACAAATTTTTTTTTTTTTTTTTTACTTTTCATAACTTTTTATTATTCCTTGTTTTTAGCATTCAGTTCGCTTATTTCCGCTAAATTTATCTCTAAAACAATCTTACTTCAGGCAAAGTTTGCAACATTAATTCTACATCACAAGTTCTCACACTACTTTTGAATGCCGAAATACTACTGCTTAGTCACTTTTGCCCAGAAGTTTTGAAAATTGCAAGTGGTTGGAAAAGTGGACCTTGGTTCGTCCTTGGACCAGAGTACGTCTGTGTGACAAATTTCATGAAAATATTTCAAAAATTGCGACCTGCAGCTTGGACACACAAATGTACGGATAGACGCCAGATGGACAGACAAGCCTAGATCGATTTAAAAAATGGTTCTTAATATAACCTGTGCCACCATTAATGTAGGGTATAACCAGATTGTCAAGTGACGAAGACATTCTTAAGCCTTTTCTGTGCGAACATCCATTTTGTATCGTATATTATATTAAGTCATCGAATGATCGCGCTTAAAGTCAAAGCGTAGGTTTTTTTAGCCTGGGAATTAAAATTGCATGCATTGAACGTGATGCTGAAAAAAGCAATTAAGACTAATTGCATTTTCTCCTGTACATATAAAAAAGGGAGAACGAAATTACGTCCAATTTGAAAATTAGTTAACCCTGCATGTATATAAAAGGAACTATAAATTATGAAAGAACACAATAAACTAAGTGGACAACTATAGCCTTCTTAGGGCAAAAATGTTCAATACCCGTCCAGATATTTACTTGTGAATGTAATCCAATTTTAAGCTACATCTGTGAACTAAACCTAAAGACCTATTCTAATTTTTACAGATGTAAGAGTTTCAACGACACAAGAGCTAACGTGAGAACATAGTTATATCAGTTCAGAATCTCAAACTAAAATTGCCTTAACTTTACCTTGGCTAGAAGTATTGCATTTGGAACGATTAAGTCTATGGACATACTACAATCAACTACAGAACGGAATATCAATAAAACAAATTACTTTATCAAAACTACTAGACTCAATATCTAATGTAGTTTTATATATTAGAGCCGATAGCCTGTGTTGCTAGTGCTCCATGTCTTTCATTTTCTTTCCTTCTTTATTTGTAAATACAACGAACAAGAAGCCCAGCCCAATACCAAAGCTTAAGTAGCGTCAACCCAAAATGCGATCGTATCATTCTTATCTTCAGTATGCCACGATAGCTCGATAATGAGAAACATAAGCAGGGACCTTCTTAAAGTTTTAGGTGTCATTTCTGCAATAAGATCAAATTAATTCCGCTTGCTGCTGAAGAATGCATTTGGCGTCCCCTTGAGGTATTCCTGTGCCTTACCAGCAATACGATAAAACAATTTTATCCTACTTTAGTTTTAACTAACGCCGCCCCCATTATTGGAATAATCTTGTTGATTCAATATTTGTTCGTGGGTCAAACTTGACTACGGCCGATTGAGTTTTTTTTTTTTCTTTTTTTCATAAACAATGCAGTGATATAAATAAATTGAATTAATTCGGTTTGAATGAATGAACAAAGGATAGAAATAGCGGAAAGATGTACTTGAGAGAGATTATTTACAAAAGTTAGCTCAGCATAACCTTTAATATTGATATTTATTATTAACATAGTGATATCTCAGAGATGCGTACTGATATAAAATGAACAATTATAAAGTAACAAAAGTAAAAGAAAACACAAGATAGGAGATAAGAAAAATTTTGTTGAAAATATAAACAGTAAACAGTAAACGATTATACACAATACGAAGAACACACACTTAAAAGATTTCAATTCCTAATTTGTGCAAAACAGTCTCAAAAGCAAAAACCGAAGAGATAAACGTGTACGGGCTTGTACGTATAACACCATAATCCGGTTCTAAACTAGGCAGAACGTGACTAGAAAATTTTTGCGACAATTGCTGCTGCTGCCGCGGACTATTACAAAACTTCGTTTGGCTCAACTTTCGGAGATTCTGCTTCATTTTCTCTTTCCTTGCTACAAGTTTTTTAGTTTCGCGCAGCATGTAAGTGGCATCGGTAGTGGTCATGAAATCAGATATAATCTACAGCAGAGCGGGAATTAAATGAATGAGCTAATGTCATTTGTAAGCTTTGACTTTATGCTTACCTTGCGTTTTATAGGGCAATGGGCAAAAATCCATATCAACGTACATAATGTATTAAAGATTTCACAGTCTTTATCGCACCAACGCAACAGCATCTGTGCTATAGTTACTAAACCACCCTCCTGGAATGTGTTGATCGTAGTGCTATTGTAGCGAGCTAAATTAAGTATAATGCGACTGCAGTACATAATCAAGTATTTGTCTATTTCGGAACGGATTGCTTGTGCCATAATTCCATAGCAAAAAGATGATACAAAAGCCGCCCGATTTTTAAGCAAATGTGGCACCGTACGCGAGATCCGATCTGTGAATAATTAAAAGACGTAATAATTACCCACTTATATATTAATAATCTTAATTTGATGCAATTTATACCTAAACTTTTTAATATAGCGAGAGCCTCAGAGGCACAGTATCGGCCACGCAAAATTTTGACGGCATCGTTAACTTTAGAATGTACCGTATTCAGAGCATGTGAAGCCTGATTGAGCAAAGCAATATTGCGACGTATCTGTAGCAATTTTACGCTGCGAAAACGTTTGCGTATACGATAACCGCGCCAAAATCGTTGTATAAGCTGAGCAGCCTTGTTTTGACGTCGAATTTCTTTCATTTCGGGAGTCATTAGGCAACAAAAACGTCGTCTTGCCAATAAACCGCGAGCGTGAGCTTGAAACTGAACGACATTGTTTTTAAGTAGTGTGTAATGCCGATGATCCTTTCGCATTTCGATGCGAGCTCGAAACCTTTGTTGTAAACGAATGGTAGTGGAACGCAATACAAGGAATTCGTTGCGTTTCTGCAGCATTTGTCGTCTTGCGCGGAATTTGCGTTGAATGTAAATAACTAGGGAACGCAACAATTGGAACTGAGCTCGTATTTTCAGCATTTCACAGCGTGCCCTAAAGTGACGTTGCAGACATATCGCAGCATTCCTTTGCCGTTCATATTGTTGTCGATCGGAACGCATTTGAACAGTAGCTTTTACCACTCGCTGCAAGACAATGATTTTCTGTATAGTCTTCAAGAAATGCCGACGCTCTTCTCGCGCTACTAGAGTGGCACGCCATTTCTGTTGTATTGTTATGCTAGCCGTGCGTTTACGTTGATACGCAACGCGATCGATGCGCATTTGAAAAATAGATCGGATCCAGATCTGTATTTTAACGGCTGCATTACGTTGTTGCACAAATTCTAGACGCTGCCTCTTTCCCAACATATAGTTTCTATAATAAGTTTGAATATAAATAATTTTTGTACGCTTATCCTCGTACGATGCCTTCTCTATTTTCATCATCTGATTGGCCCGAAAACGCCTTTGGATTAATACAATTAAACGGTATTCGTTGAGATAAATTTGACGAGCCGCCTGAGCTAATTTATTAGCCCTAAAACGTCTTTGCATAGTTACAATAAGTTCCCGTTGGCGCCTGAAAGTATTACGTTCCTCGCGCATCAACAACGTAGCCCTAAAACGACGCTGTATCAAAACAGCTGCGTCCTTCAATCGAAGATATTTCTCCCTTTGTAATATCATTTTTCGATACGCCCTATATCTACGTTGGATGATTAGCGCAGCTTGCTTCATTCGTCGAAAGTGCTCGCGTTCACGTTTCATGGCCAGAAAACCACGTACACGTTGCTGGAGGCACAAAACAGCTGCCTTAGTTTCCATATATTTCGCCTTATGATAGCGCATAGCTTTATAAGCTCGAAAATGGCGCTGTATTGTGACAATCGCATGCTTTTTTAATTCATAATTTCGACGATCGTGACGCATTAATAATTTATTGCGATAACGTCGTTGTACAAACAAAGTGACTTTTTTTAGTTCCTGGTATTGCGTAAAAGCGACACGCATTTGTTGGTTGGCACGGTACCTTCGCTGTATTACGGTTACAAAATATTGAAACGTGATGAAGTCAATTCTTACCTTTCGCGCAAGTGCAACTGCCCGCCACTTCTGTTGTATATAAATAACTTTTTGACGAATGTCAAGATATTTAGCGCGTTGCTTACGCATCGCCAACGTAGCTCGCCACTTAGCTTGAATAAAAATGACAGCCGATCGAGTTCGCTGATAAATCGATCGTTGTTTTTGCATTAATTGCTTAGCTCGTACTCGTTGTTGTAAAACTTTAACAATATCTCGAATATGTCGGTAAGAGTTGCGTGCCTTCTTCATTTGCTGATAGGCTCTAAACTTGCTTTGTATGACAATAGCAGCCGAGACAACGCGTAAAAATTGCTTTCGTGCTTTAAAGCGACGCCAATAACTTTGTATAATGGTAGCCATTTTTTGTTTCTTCTCTTGCCATTCATGTTTTCGCTGAGCTGCTTCTGCGCGCATCAATCTCGCCTTGCATCGTACTCTCCATAATCGCTGGATGCAAATGACGCTTTCGCGTAATTCCAGATAATTTTTCCGATATTCCTTAGCCAACTTACTCGCCCGATACCAATGTTGTATGGCAAGAATGGAACGCATAGCCGCAATGTATTTTTTACGTGCCAAATAAGAACGAATGTATTTTTGCAAAGTAATCGCTGCTTTAGTCCGTTCATCGCGATATATGTTCGAATATATACGCGTGATATAACCGCGGAAAGCAGATTGAATAACGACAGCTGCCTTTTCACGTTTAAGCTCTTCTTTACGCCGTACGCGTCGATTTATGATTACCTTCAGCCAAGATTTACGCCACCAATTCTGTATTACACGGGCAGCCGCATGAAATTTAGGCGACCGGAATTTATAGATGATTTGCCACAATAACGACAAAGTTTTTTCCCGATGGCCATCAACGATATCATTGGCTACTATATCACCTTTCAGTTGAAACTCAGCTTCGCTTAAAGACTTTAGGGCAATATTAACATTAAATATTCTCTGCAAACGCGAAATGGCAGGGACACGTAATTGTTTGGTTAGATCATCGCGTAGCAAAATAATTTCCATGACACGCGTCAAACGTACACCGTCACGCAGATCTGTCGCCAAATTTTGAAAAGCGTAATTGAATTCATCCAAATAAGTTTGCTTATGGGTAAGCACATAACCTAAACGTCTTAGTTCACGCGTAATGTCTCCAACATTTGCAAGTAATTCGGAAGAAAATTTCAATAAAATATCACGAGTCTCCTTGTAGGGTGACTTCTTCACAAACAAGCAAGGATTGTGAGCAATAATGCGCTTCTCCTTCGCTTTATCGAGAAAGAGCAACAGTAAGAAGAACTTTTGAAGGGTGAACCTTTTAATATATGCTGCATATTCATCGCATAACGTATAAGCTTTCGAATATTTTTGCTCGAGAAATTTGTCACGGAACAATCTGCAAAACAAAAGCGGAACGAATAAAAACAAATGAAAAAATCAAATAATGCTCCCGTCGTCTACAATAATTCGCGATTTAGGTTAGATATTAGGTAGAGAGGCTATCAAAATTGATCAAAGAAGTAAATCTTTACGTTAACCGAATATAATTATTACACTCTACAGTTACGGCTTTGCAAAATATTTCTTGATGGGTTGATGGATGTAATCCCCCTTTCATACCCACCATAGCGATTGCATTAGATTTGGAACTATCCGTTCCACATGTCGTATGTGCATTATACGATGCCATTTACGATGAATATAGAGAGAAAAGATTTTTGGCTCGGTCTTGCAATCAAATATCGTTTACAAACGTATAGTATAGTGGGTAATAAAAAACTATATTCGGCCAGAGCCGAACATAGATTTTCTCCTTTTCTTGTTCCAACTAATTTTTCTCCCTCTATTAATAAAATTCTATTAATAAAAATTATTAGTCGCCAAAAAAAGAAAATTTATATCGCCAAGAATTTGCTCATAGGGGTCTTGGAATGTTACCTCAAGCAAAGCAAAATAAAATAGTACGACAGCTGTTAGCAGTCGGCACACATTATGATGAATGAATTATCGAACTTACCTATTTAAAATAAATGTACTTAGGCCAATTATATCCTTGTTAGATTGAAGATGCACTTTTTCTCCGTATACAACTTCAAGTCCCAAGCGTAACCATAGTGGATTAAAGCACAAGAGCAATTCAAGAATTTCTCTTTGCGTCACAACATCCAAGTGTAAGTTCCGATCGTTACGTATACGCAAAGCGTTCTTTTGAACGTAAATTACTACTTTTGAGCAAGACAATCGTAAATCTTCGCTTAAGAAGAGTTCGACGGCTGCTCTGCGCAATGACTCTAAACGAAATGTGTTTAGGTAGTTTATTGACTGCTCTTCCTTGGTAGGAGCAAACATCAGATCCTTGTTGCGCACTTCATTGAACAATTTACCTACATCGATTTTCGTATTGGAGTCGGTATCAAGGTCCGCTGGTATGGTGACTAAGGCGTTCAGCCACTTCTTAAAATCACACTCATGCTTTTCTACGGAAGCTTCATCTAGATACATGGTCGAGGCAAGGAATGGATCGCAGGTAGTAGTGGCAGCGAATGGATCGGGGTTTATAAATGACTGCAAATGTAGTTCGGTGTCATACAATTTAATACGCGGTTCAGTTTTCAATTTGCATGGCGTTAACGGTTTTTTTATTAACGATAATGTCCGGGACAGTTTAATTGGTTTTGGTTTCATATGTGCCCAAATTTTTTTGCGAACATTTGCTGATGCATTGATTGGTGTAAGACTTCGATGCAATGTAGAATCCATTTCAAGACGCTGACGTTTAGGTGGAGAAATACAATCTAAATTTAAAAAAAAAGAAGCAAAAAATGTAGTAATAAATCAATGATAACCCTTTATATTTGCATCGTATTGTACCAGATTTAGTTTTAATTCTGCTTTTACTGCTTTTCTCATTGTTAGATCCAGCGATCGAATCTAGATTGGAACACTCAGAAAATGAAAGCTCATTTAGACGTCGTTTATTATTGGCATTCTCCACCGTAGTAGTGACCTGACTACTCGTTTTAGTGGATCTTGGTGTTGTCAATTCTCTTATATTTCTATGCACGTTTCGTGTTTGCGTGTCAATAGCAATGGGACTGTTACTACATTGTTTCATTCCAATCTCATTTAAATTAAAACGACTTGACTGTGCTAAGATTTCATGTTGATCGAAGAGTACTTCTGGATGCGAAACTAGATTTAACTCGTCGAGCCCTCTCTTTGGAGATGCTGTACAGCTTTGTCGAATACTGAGAGTATTAAGGCTCCCCTTGCGTGAAGTACTTTGCTTGAAATATCGATTTTTCTCAAAATCCCCTATTGTTTCCATATCATTGAGATTTGGTAAAGAACCTTGCGTTAAGAAGCTACGTTGTGCTGATTTGCTTTGCAAGTTCATCATAGATTCGGAGAATTTGCGTAGCGGCTTTCCCACCAATCTTATGTCGCGCATACGATCCTCCACCGCAGTCTTTCGAGCAGATGTACTGGACAGGTCTTCAGAGTTCGGAAGGTTTGAGTGTTTCGTTAATGCCGTTGGAATGGTTAGATTTATATCCTCTTCCTCTATAACCGCAAGCGGTCCTGGTGTAGGAATAACAATTGAGGTTTTATCAAGTAAATCAGGAGATTCTCCAGAAGTGACGTTTAAACAATCAATGGGAAACTCAAAACTTCTCTGCAATATATCAAATGTTTTATTTATTATTGTGCCACTTGGAACTCTTTCAATTTCATTCGGAATATCTTCGTGGATATTAACACATTCCGCTTCAGATAAATCGGACGTTAAACATCTGGGCTTTAATTTGTGCTCTGCTTCTCCACTAACTGATGTCTGGTAACATAACGGAGTTGATATTTTAGCCAAGTTGCTGGGTTTACTTATCTGAGATACGGCTAACTTTTCACCAACTGGAGAAAATTGTAGTTCGTTCATCATATTTAAAACCTTAAATGAATCTTCCAGTGGGATAACATTCTCTTTAAAATCACTGGTCTTTGTGACAACAATAACAGGTGGACGACTCTTAGACGGAATAGCAGAGGACTTGTTACACTCCTTTAACGGGAGTGTGTGCACTCGTTCGCCATCACGTACTTGGAAAGGACCGTGTTTCCATTTGAGCTGCGTCTTTATAGGATGTTTGTCAGATCTTTCCGTTGCTGCGAAATGTTTCTTCTGCAACTGTTTTTGTTGAGCGGTTAATTTAGTGTTTTTGTTAACTCCACTCGTGGGCGATTTTAAACGTAATGCTTTCGCCAGCGATGTGGCTCCCGATAACATGTTAGGATATTTATGAACATTCTATACGTGTAATAAAATATATATATGTATAATTATATTCTCTGCAAAGACACTCTTGTAAACTTACTTTTATCGGCTTAGATGCTTTAGATTTTAATATAATGAAAACATCTTTGTGAAAATTACGATTATCAGTAAATTGTAGAGTTTCTCTAGAAGAAATATCCATTTGTGGTTTCCATGTCAATTCCATTGTGATGTCATTTTGTGCTGGTACAGTGTTTTCTAACCACTCCAATGAAATGTTAAGTCCAGGATTAACAGATTTGCTAACGCTCACCTCAAACGGAGAAAATTCACAATATAATAAATTGTTTTTAATTATTATAAATTTGCTTTTCTTGATCAGTTTCAAATTTGGAATGCAACTAAACATATCCGCCTGTTCGTCTGTCCATCTGTCTGTTTGCGTAACTTTGTAGTATTTGCAGCAACCATTCACCTCATAATGAAAATAAAGATATCGCCTAAAAATTTTCAAAAATATTCGCAATTGACCTAAACTTTTCAAAGGACGCGCCTACAACATCCAAATGCCCATACGACAAACACTTCTATTTTGAAAATAGAGAAAATCGCCTGCGCCCACTCCATATTATAGAGCATGAAAATTTTGCACATCTACTCTTTGGCCATTTATCAGAATAATGTTGATGGGTATAAAAGACTCGGTTACAACCGAATATGATTTTTTTACTTTTTTTTTTTTTTTTGAAACTCGCAAATATCCAAACTAAGCCAATAAAAAAATAAATAAAAATACAGAAAGTGGCATATTCGCGCATATTCAGAACACCATCAATAAAAAAAAACGAGTGAGAAAGTTATATTCTCACACATCCACCATCACATTTACCGCCCCTTGCTTTTATTTAATGGGATAATATTTATCTTTCAACTAATAGAGATCGTTAAAGAAAAAATTAATTCACTTAGGTCGTCGCATTCTACTCTCCAACTAAGAAACAATTAATCCACCACGTCGTGGTGTCTACCATGTATTTCAAAATGAACGCATTTGTAGGCAGATAATACATTGTGTCGTGAAGGATGAAGTTTGAAATTAATACATTAAGGGCTTACTATAAAACATTGCACATAATCTCTTATCTACAAATTTCATCAAAACCGCGGCGAATTTATACATCAAGAGTGAAACTGTATCACAGGGAGGTCATGGCGATAGATCAAATCCTTAACGAATTCCTCATCAAGACGTAAGAATACCATTTATATAATATGTAAAAGATAGTCCACCACAGTGATTGAGCCGTGGCGAATTTTTACACCAAGGGCGCAGCTGTACCAGAAGAGGGTCATTGCGCCATTTCGGTGATCATCAACCGGTCCAATCAATCACGAATCACTCAATCAGACATTTCCATCGCTGACGTGCACTTTTCGAAGCAGCATAAATACTACCTCTTTACAGGTGAATTGTACATCGCTCCCAGGATGCTGCATTTTCAAAATAAGCAAACGGGCAAGAAATATTTTAAACCTCCAACACGTATGCTTATGTGCAAAAATAAAACGCTTATGCGCACAGAACATTGTCCTCACGCGTTTCTACTACGGACCATCTAAATACCTAGGTAAGATGAGATTAGTCATTCAAGTGTGAATAACATCTGGATACGTGTCGGTTATGCTTTATAGTTTGTGGAAAAATATGTATATGCGTTGTAACACAGTATTAGAGAAGATCACCTGATCGGTGGGTGGATTCCGTACACAATGGCTACGTAATTTGCAAAGTAATTAGTTTAGAGTGAGTGATAATATTTGGAAGAGAAAAAATCCTTTTGAATTTTAAATAATTGTTGTTTTTAAGACATTCTTAAATCCTTTCAAGCTGAAATTTTCATTATACTTTCTAATGCATCACGCGCCTAAAAAAGCGAAACATTGGCTGCGTAGAGAAGGTGATTACACAAACACAAAATACAATGGCACGGCCTGTTTGACTTTAGAAACGAACACGTACTTGATCAACACTTTCTATCAAGAGTAATAAGTAGGGACGTACTTTTTCGTTCTTCGAAAATCATTATCAACTAATCAAGTGTTTATACTCATCATATCTCTGCTCGTCCGTCGTTTGTCTTTCAAATCACGCGAAATAATTTAAAAAAGATTCTTAAAATTCGTAGCATTTACACTTGATTTATACGCTCATAGTAAATAAGCTGAAAAATGTGCTTTAAGTGTGTTCTAAAAGCTCCAAGGATGTTTAATGAAAATATTGTTTTAAAGTAACGAATTTTATATTATGTGTCATACTAAACACAAACAACAAAATAAAATAAGACACTCAACAATTTACAATTTATATTGAAGATATCTGCCAAAAACTTGCAAGACTCGTAAAAACTATTCCACCAGAAGTTGTTATAAAGACCGGGATTACCAAAGCTATGCTAAATGCTGTATGTGCTATATATATATATAAAACAATTGGTACGTTCTAAGGAGGGATCAGAAAAAAAATAGTTGACAAAAAAAGATATGACCGTTGTTAGGTGGATTCATATTTTGCTGGCGAATTTGAATATGTGTTTCATTGATATATATATATATATATATATATGTACACGCACATATCTTTTTTTGTCAGCTATTTTTTTTTTTTTTTTTGTTATTCTCTCTCCCTAGAATGTAATATTTGTGTTAATGTGCTTGCAACATTTCAAATATAAGCAGCTTACATTGTACATCCTATTTAGCATTTAATAAGCTTGGCGTTCCAACTGCTAGGATTTATATTTACATTTACGTATACAGACTGGCAGCTTTTGTCTATTCATGTCGGTCAAATGAGAGCGATCGATTTACAATCTAATCAAAAGATCGCGAACGAATAACTTAAGCAATGTTAATAAAATATAATTTTACTTCCTATGCAGGTTACTGGCTACCGTTCATGTATGCAAGAAGCATGCATTCGCCCGATTATGAACTTAATCCGTTTCCTTGCAATCTTTACAATTTTTTTCAAACATCAAAATAGTCATCAAAAAAATTCTACTCAAATTGAATATAATTTCTTTTGTTTTTGCTGTTGCTATTTAATTCACGATTACTGTTAGACCAATAAAATGAACGGTGTTTGGTATTTGGTTGATTATCAGTTACGTATTCGCGGTAATTTCATCACAAAAGGACTAAAGAGCATTTAAGCAGACGACAAAAAAAAAAAAAAAAAAAAGAAGCATAAGGGAATGCAAGCAACGACATAAGTGCACTTACTTTGATTTCATCATCTGAAGGATTAATTATCCGCATAGTACGCCTAGCAATTTTTGACACAGGCACATCCTCAAACAACACAATGGATTTGCCAGAAAAGGGCGCCATTACAACATCGGTAGATTCGCGACACTCTGAGCGCCTATCGCCTTTAGACCGTACTGGTGTCATTTTAACCTGAAATTTTACAAAGAAAACAAAAAAAAAAAAGCCAAAAAATAATTGTATATTTCAAATAAAATTTGAAGATTAGAAAGCCTAAATATATATACAATGGTGGATGCAATATCAACTCACTTCAAATGCACTCATATTCGATGCCCGTTTAGATTGCGCAAATCAAACAAAATTTCCCAGTGAATTCTGTTCGCTCTTCTCCAAATTGTGTAGAACTGCAGTTAATATCAATTTTCACTAGAAAACTAATTTGCAAAATTCTTTTTTTTCTTTTTCTAGCAATTAAAGCTCCGACCGATCCGAATTCTTAGCTATCATTAAATCGGAAAAAAAGAAAAAAAAGTCAAAGGCCGTTGGTTGGCATTCTTCATTTCAATTTTTATATCATTGACTTATACTTCAAAGATTGCTTTTAAAACAGCTGTCAACTGGCGCGGCAATGACAAGTTGCCATCCCATTATAAATATTTTGCCCTGTTGCCACGTTTTTTCAACGTAATTAATTTTCAATTGTTAACTGCTGGCAAAATGAAACGGATGTTAAACGAAACAAAGCTTATGCATACTTAAAATTGATTGCACGTACAACGAATTTTATGTAAATAAAATTATAATAATTGACTTTTTATTTATTTGTTTATGTTCATTTTCTTTATTTCGAGATTCGATTTTGAAGCACTCGCCAAATTCATTTTAACTAATGAGAAGTACAGCTCTCTATATGCGGAACGAAACAAAAACATTTATAGGGGTCGGCGAAATCATACGAAACTTTTATGAAAACATAGAACTTGTGATTCCAAACCATATGATGTATTGATCTCGAATTGGATCCAAAAGCTTTTTCAGGATCAACAACTAAAATGCAATGAAAAAATATATCACTTTCATCCATTGACCGTACTATACTTTATAAAGCGTGTAATAAATTTTGGATTGAGGGACTCGTTCAAAAGTACCCAAATTTTTTTTTATTATTATAAGTAATTTTACTATTGCAAGATAACATGTCTAATTTATACTGCCCAGTTCCTAGTTTTTTTTTTTAAATCTGAGATATATATGTATATATATATATATATATATTTATTTTTTTTTTTTTTTTTTAGAAACTTCTGTAATTTAGGACAAAACTTTAAAAAAGTTTTTTTTATCAATGACTGAGAATTTCTAAGATAAAGAAAATGACAAACGCACATGAGAAGGAAATAAAGCCAAAATCGAAAAATGTTTGAATTCTTTCAGGAATCGGCGCTTCAAATTTAAAAATTTCTTTTGCAACCTGAATTTCAGACAAACTTATTTAGTAAGCCCATTGCAATGAAAAAAGAAAATTTTTAATTTATGTTTTGAGAGCGAGTGGGAGATAGAGGGGCAAGAGTTGATTTAGACGATGATTAGCGCGGAGCATACAATTGTGTGCAAAAAACAATAAACTAATAAACACAACACCAAGGGAGGCAGTAAATTTTGTCCTTGAATAAATTGTTTGCATTCAGTATACTATCCAACCGCTTGCCCTTGTTTCCATTAGAAATTTGCATAAAACCAATATGGTTTTATGCATGCCTGGATTTTGTTTTCCTAGTACGCGTGCAGTCAGCCGGCATATGCGGATAAGCGCCAAGGCATGTGAAGTAAGATACACTAATATTTAGCGAAAGATATGCGCATAGAAATGAGAATTTTCGAAATGTTGAAACATTTTTTTCCAAAGGCTTTCCCAATTTGCTTACGTGCATGTCACAAGCCTAATATAATAATTGACGATAGTCGACAACGTTCTTTAGAGAGCAAGTAATATGCCTTTGTTAAAGTCCTAACAGATGTGCCGAGTTGTGAAGCACAATACATAAGCGTACGCAATACTTTCGCGTATATTATATATAGAATAATTTTTCATATATATAATGTATTAAAATTTTTGGAAAACTAATACAAGCACTCGTGTCAAAACTCTAAATATGTAATTTTGTAATTTATTCCAACGACAGGAGAATGGCATAACATCAAAAGAATTATTCTCAGCATAAATTCTCATGTAACAAGAGAACAAGGTTGAGAACCTGAAATCTTTGCGCCTATGGTGGTAAAGACGAAAAATAATTCCAACATAGGTGGTTTCCAATAAAGTACAAAAATTGCTCCGAATTGGTAGACGTTGACAAAAGCCACACACCAGTACACACAGCTTCATACGCCTACACGGTATTCTTTCATTGTATTTGGGACATCGAATACTTTGGAATTAACAACGTAATGCCTATTGTCATTCGCGTAAAGCTGAGTACTGATTACGAATCTTTTGATAAGCTTTCGTTTCCTTCGACAAAGAAACTTGACGATCTATTCTTTTTTACTTTACATATGATCCTTATCATGGCTTTCTGCGACGTCTGCTATTAAAACAAAATATATGCAACAGAAATAGGGGGCAAACTTCAGTTTTATGTATGCGGCAACATAGTGTCTTCACCTTTCAGTTCGGGTGAAGCGGACGAAAACTACACACCTAACACTGTACTTTTAACGAATACTACTTAACGGACACTATCGCTTTGTGTACTGGGCCGTATTTCAGTAGCTGCCAATTTTAAAGCTCTGCCTTTGCTTCCCTAACCTGACAGAGTATTGGTAGGCCTAGGGGGTGTTTTCGGTTAACCCACTTGGCTTTCTCACCGCTTTACGCAGTCTCTGACTAATTCTCCCATCCTTCCTAAATTCCAGCTCAGCTCCGCTAAGTGCTTATGATTGCGAAGTCCGTGACCGTTCGAATCGTTCATTGCAAAAACGACGGCTCTTATATCATCAGTGCCATAACTGCGTACTACACAAAATATTAATCCACGGAAACCAACAGTGAGATATTAAATATAATGAAACATATAAAACCGAAAATGGTTAGTTAAAGAAATGCTAATAATGTGAAATATAAAGATAATATTATGAAAATATACGACATTTATGTGGGGTCATCAAGCGTATAAAAGTAATATCAAAGGATAACGATATATATATATATATTAAAAAAAAAAAAAAAATAAATAATGATTATTCCAAATAATGTGGCAATATTATATAACAGTAATGATCTGTTAAAGCGAGATAATAATAAAAAAGATAACAACGATAGCATTATGCGATATATTGCACTATTGCCAGAGGAGGCACTAATGCAAAGGTGTTGACGCAAAAAAATTCGTAAACATCTTTGCAGGATGAATTTTGACGAATTACAATATGAGAGACGATCAGCGAATCACATTGACAGGAATGATATTAGGGAATGAGCGTAAATGGCAATGCAGCCTCATACGAATATCATCAGCTGACTATTGATGACATGATATTGTTTCATTGTTTATATACCCGCCCGAACATGTTTCTGCAAGAAAAACATTACTAATACTAATAAACATTTGTCTTTTTCCTAATTTGTCTTCCTCACTTTTCAGCTGCTGATAATTAACAATTTGCAAAGCATATTAAATTTTGGTCACTTGAAAAAGTAATTGGTTGTATCCATACCGGTGCATATATAACAAGTAAGAAAGCTACATTCGATCGGGACTGAATCTTTTATATCCATCATCGACCGTTATTCGTAAAAAAGACAAAAGATGTAAAAGAATAAGATTTTCATGCTCTATAATATGGAGTGAAGACTGCTCATTTTTTCTATTTTCAAAATAGAAGTGTTTGTCGTGTAGGCATTTGGGCATTGTAGGCGCGTCCTTTGAAAAGTTTAGGCCAATTTCAAATTCTTTTGTAAATTTGTCGTCGATATGTTCATTTTCGCTAACGGGAGAATGTTTATCACAAACACTACAAAGTTGCGCAAACAGACAGATGGATAGACAAACGGACGGACATGTCTAGGTGTATTTCAAATTTCAAACTGGCTAAGAATTTGTATAGTTGATGGGGGTTTTGGAGCTTGTTTCTTCGCGTTATGAAGTTATTGAAAAAACAATTAAAGTTTGATACACTATAATATTAGGTAGGCGTGGTCAATTTTTTCCATCTTATGTGCAAGAGCTTCCAATGTTTCTGCAAATTTGAAGTCGATAGCTTCATTTTTGCGGCTGGAAGAATGTTTACAGTAGATATTACACAGACAGGTAGACGAACAGACGGACATACTTAAATCGATTTAGAATTTGATGCTGATCAAGATTATAAACACTTTGTGAGGTCTCTGTTGCTTCCATGTGGGCGTTGCAATCGTTTTGACAAAGTGAATAAATATATCCCTCATCCTTCGGTGATGGGTATAAAAATGATTACACTCGATTGTCCCTATGAGGTACAATAAAATCAACTTGTTTTACAGATATCACACCGGACAGCAAAACAAATTCTAGTTAACTTTGCTTCATCACAATTTATGAACAAAATTTCATATAAATATAAATATTATAAGTTGGCTTCCCAGCTACGTAAAGAGATTCAAATAAAAAAAAAAAAAAATGTCCCGAAGAAGTAGCTACAGCAACACAGTAACATTAAAATTTGGCTATGTCCGTTTAAATATTCTGTTAAGATGAAGATTTTAGATAAAAACAAGCTAACGTGTCCCCACATCCTAATAGAAGAATAGAGAACGAACTTTAAAAGAAATGCACTATCGAAATGAGAGTGTCTATGAAGGTCAAGTGATAACTATAATTCTAATTCCGTTTCCGATATCTATTTTATATATTGGTTCAATTTTTAAAAATTTCCCCTTTATACCTCTATTCACCGTACCTTGTTATTATAACAAATATGCTTAGTGATCTGCTGAATCTATTCGATCACAAATCTGTCATGTTTTTTGTGGTCTCCACATTTATGCTTAAATATAAAAATATCAAATAAAAAAAAAAAAAAACAGTAAAAAAGGACAAGGAGACCACCAGTTTTACCACTATTTGCCAAGGACATATGTTCAGTGACATAGCGACATAGTGAGTAGAAAAAAATTATTTGAAAAATTAGTGGCCCCTTACAAAATACATCTAATCGTATTTCAGATCTCATAAATAATTTAATAAAAAAATGACCAGTGTATTTTTGCAATTGCCATGCAATACCCATGAACGGATTAAATAAACTAAGTATGCAAAACAGAGAACAAGAAAATAGTTTAGCAAGAAATATTAGATGGGGAAGCGTAGCAGTCAGCTCATTTTTACCATCCCACGTCAGACATAAATTGCATAGAGGATGATTGCCGGCGTTTACTACTACTACTGTTAACCA